TTTCGTATTTTCCTTGTATTCTCCAACCGTCATTTCTTCCCCCTCCTCCACATGCTCGTTTTCTTCCCCACCTCCGATGTTGGTTACTTTTTTTCTCTCCCACCGTCATTTTTTCTCTACCTCCGATGTTGATCTTTGTCGATGAGAAAAGAAAAACAAAAAATAAATATGGTGATAATTAAGGGTATTAGTGACTTTTGCATATGGTACAATACAATCAAATAGTACATATGTTATTTACTTAATTTTCGATTCTTCCATTGTCATTTAGTATAGTTATTCTAAAATGTAAACAAAATCATAAAGTTTGATCTTCGACATCTTTTTATCAAATGTTATTTGAGAAATTTCAAAAAATACCACTTTTCAAATGCCACTTTACAAAAATGCCACACTTTTGAAATCTTTACAAAAATGCCACATTTTCAAAATTATTTTTTCCTTATATTATTTATGTTTGGGTTAATTATGTTCTATTAGGGTTTAGTTTTGAGTGTTTAAGGGGTTTTAGGTGTCAAAACATTTTTTAAGATTTAGAATTTTAAGATATAGGCTTTATAAATCTATAATTAGTGACATTTTTGTAAATGTACATCCCTAAGTGGCATTCTTGCAAATATACACACAAAAAATGGTATTTTTGTAATTGCCCCATCTTATTTTCAAATTATGGTGTGCTATGTTAGATTAGCGAATATAGTTGCGCAAACAATATAGTTAATGTGTAACGGTATGCCGTAAAATGTGTTATTTTTTTAAATAATTTATTATAATATGTCATATCTAAAAATATATTGCAAAAAGAGAGAGAAAAAAAAAATATCAATTAAATTTTTTTGAGTTGTGTAATTCTCTCTATTTTTATTGGATATCTTTATGACATATGATGTCACATCTGACACAAAGAATGTCTTGTTAGCAAGTTTACACGTAAAAGCAAAGATATTTTGGTCATTTGTCAGTCCATTCACTTAATAAATTTGTTAGAAGTCTATATTGTTAAATAGGGTATTGTAAACAAAATCTATTATGC